TCATTAAATGACGACCTTCTTTGCCTCTTTTGACAGTTTTTGATTTGAAGCTTATTTTATCTGATCTAAGTATAGGCAATCCTTCTCCTTTGACTACTATTTGCATGGAGTATTTCATCCCTTCACTTTCAGCCTATGTTTTTTTCTTAAAGCTAAAGTGAGACTCTTATAGCATATAGTTAGATCTTGTTTTTTTTTTTTTAATTCAGCTACTCTCTGATTGAAGAATTTAATTCCGTTATATTTAAGGTTATTATTAACAGGTAAGCAGTTAGTAGTGCTATTTTGTTATTTTGGGGGTGGCTGTTTTTGCAGATATTTCTTTATTTCTTCATCTCTTGTATCCCTTTGTGATTTGGTAATTTTATGAAGTACTAAGCATTTAATTTTTTTATCATTCATGTATCTGCTGCCATTCTTGTAATTCTTATAGCTCTGAAGGCTGGGAAGTCTAAGGGCACACATGATGTAAACCTCTGGTGAGGGTGATCCCATGGAGGAAGGTGGAAGTGAGTGCACAAAGCAAAGAGAGAGAGATGGGGCCAAATTTATTCTTTTATCAGGAGTTCACTCCTGCCATAATTAACCCTCTCCCAAGATAATGATATTTATCCACTCATGAGGATGAAGGTCTCTGGATGTAATTATTTCTGGAAGGTCACACCTCTTAAAACTGTTATAATGGCAATTAAGTTTTCACATGAGTTTTAGAGGGAACATTGAAACCATAGCATTTCATTCACAACCCTCTGAAACTCATGTTCTTCTCACATGCAAAATACATTAATTCTGTCTCAGTCGCCTCAAAAGTTTTTACCCATTCTAGCATCAACTTTAAAGTTCTAAGTCCAGAGTCGTCAGAAACAGATATGGATGAGACTCAAGGTATGACTTATCTGGAGGCAAATGTTTCCAGCTGTGAACCTGTGAAATCAAAACTAGTGATTTGATTCCAAAATATAATGGTGAGACAGGTACAGAATAGACTCTCTCAGTTAAAAAGGGAGAACCAGGCAAGAAAAAGGCATAACTGGTTTCAAGTGAGTCCAAAACTCAACAGAGAAGACAGCATTAAGCTTTAAATCTGGAGAATAATTTCCTTTGACTCCATGTCTTGAATCCTGGGAATGCTGACTGGGGCCCTCAGACATGGCCCCGCTCCCATATCTTTGCTGGGCTCAGTCCGTGCTTCAGCTCTGTTAGGTTGGAGTTGCATGCTAGTGGCCCTATGGTTCTGAGATCTCAAAGATAGTCCCACTCCCTTGGCTCCACTAGGCATATCCCTAACTGTGACTGTCTGTGTTGGCTCTGACTCCGCATTCCCACTCAGCTTTGCCCTAATAGAGGCTCTTAGAAGTGGCTCCACTCCCGTAGCTATATGTGACATTCTTTGATCCTAGTTGGAGAAAGCCATGCCCCTACAGCTCTTGCAGTCTGTGAGCCTGTACACATGGATTCCACCAAGGTTTACAGCTTGTGCCTTCCAGGCACAGGTATTCCAGGCATAGTGGCAGTGCGAGCTGAGGTCCTAGGCTCAGGGTCTTGTAAAACTACTGTAGCATCTGGCACAGGTTCACTCACCCAGTCGTGGCTGGATGCAGATTACCCACAAACCTGAGGCTATAACTCTAAAGCACACCTCAGTAACTCAAGCCCGTGAAGCAGGGATGGAATTGAGACTGATTCTGGGGTCAGTGCACAACATCATCAAGGTTCCGGGGAAGGAGGCGTGCTTTGGAGGCTTGAGTTCTGAGGAGCAGGTTACAGTTCAAATTTGGGTTCCAGAGCCAATAGCGTAAAGCAGCAACTCCAACCCTGGGGGATAGAGTGCCACATAGTGGTAACTTTAGACCCTGAGATGTTAGGGCATGGCAATATCCCAGGCTGTGTGAGGCTGGATGTAGCAGCAGCAAGGCCTCGGGAATGGCTAGGCCTGTCTGTAGCTTTTTCCTTGGGTTTCTTGGAGCAGTGTAGAAATGACCCCCTAGGGAGCCACGGTTTCTCAGAAGCTTAGACTCCAGGGGACTAGTCAGTTCCAGGGAGGTGGGGCACTGCACTATTTTGCCTGGATGGTGGGGTGACATATTTCAATCAAAGCTATGGGTGCCCAGACAGAGGAGCACAGTTTCAACTTGAGTTTGGAGGGGCAGGGTGCACCAGCGACTAAGATGGGGGCATGGAGCAGTTCCATGGCAGCCTGGCCTCGGCAGGTAGAGAGTAGATAGCAGCCGTTTGGCTCAGGTATGGCTCGCAGGTGTGCATAGTGTAGTGGGGGTTAAGCCTCAGAGATGGAGGGGTACAATGGCTACTCTGAAGCAGAATGCACTCTAGCAGTGATTCAGTTCCAACAAGGGGCAGCACAGTAGCAGCTCGGGCCATGGGGGCCAGGGCACAGTGTCAGCTCCTCCTCTGAGATAGAACAGACATGTGGACTTCAGGTAGCTCCGTCAGCTGAGCTCAGGGTCTGTGAAGATGCTAAGTGTCTCCAGTAGGATTGCAGGTGTCTATGGTGGTGTTGGGAGCTGCTGGGGTCCTGTCACTTACCTTTTCCCTGCAGGAAGAAGGCCCTCCTGACTCAGAGCTGGTCTAACTGGGGGAAGGGTGGTGGAGGAAAGGTATTTTCTCTCCTTCTTCATGCAGCCATCCTGGGTTTCTGTGCTTTACAAGGTTTCTGCTACTCCTTTGCTGTTTTCTGGTGCTCTTCTTCAGTTATTTTGGTTGGAATGTAGCTGTTTATTCATTTTGTGTGTGTGTGTGTGTGTGTGTGTGTGTGTGTGTGTGTCTTTGTGATGGTGATGAGGGTTAGTAATTTCTAGTTGTCCATGTTGCTGACATTCTCTAGAATTCTAATCAGACATATTCTAGGCCTTTTAATTCTACACTTCTCATCTTTTAACCTTTCTTCTATTGTGACCATTTTCTTGTTTCTCTGTAGAATTCTTGGTGATTTGTTCAATTTTTTTCCAGTTGACTAATTCTACTTTCAGCTATTCCTTGTTATTTAACACAGTGGCAAAATTTTTTCTGTCAACATTATTTTATATTTGAAATTTGTTTGAGACCATGTTGCAAAATGTTGTGTCACTTTTTGCACTTTAACTTTTCATTTTTGTGATTTCATTTTCAATTGAATAAAGTATCCATACTTTTTACATATTCTATATTTGGTATATATCTAGATGCTCCTAATCTGTGGGGCTTCTTGGAGGCTTGTATGAAGGATATCTACTTCCTTCTTTATGGACTCCAACGTAAGACTTATTCAGAGACTAATTGTTTTCTAAGCATGTGTCTTTTTGGTGGGATTTCTCCTTTACTACTGACTTTGATTGTTCTCAGAACTGTAATTCTCCAGGGAAGTGATAGGTATCAGCTGATGCATTTAATTCCCAGGATTATGATCAATAATTTATGCTGTATACCTCAAGGAGACTCTTATCTTTGATAAGTATAATCTGAAATCTGTGGCCATGGTGCCCTGTTTCTTTGATACTTTTTCTACATTTTCCCCCAAATTTATCCTTATGCAATCTTTGTTTTTAACACTCATTTCACCTGATTTACAGAGATTTTAGTTGTTTCTCACTTTCATAACAAAATGGAGTTCTAATTCTGTTTGTCCAAATTGTTTTTGAAACTTTTCTAGACGAGATAAGAATAAGAACATTGACTTTTTGTTTACATCCTTACATTTAAGTCCTTATCTTAACTACTTCAATCACATTTACATTATATATTTCTTATTAATTATTAATTATATTTATCTTTCTTTTAAAAAATATTTTTCTTATTTTATAATTTGTAATTTTGTACTTTTTATTTTTACTGCTTTTCATAACTTTGAATGTCTACATTACTAAAATTAATGTTCTAAATGATTAATCTTTTATTTTTATTTTAACTTTTCCCCTCTAGCTTTCTCTGAAATTCACCCTCCTTTTCCTAACTTTAATCAATTTTATTGCCAGATAGCTAATAATGTATTTTCATTGATTTGTCAAAGGTAAATATAGGATGACAATTATTTCCACAGAAATCTGAATTTTTTCTGAACATAGCAAATTTGGGCTACAATAACTTTTTTTTTCATTATGTTACCAATAAAAGGGCGCACATTTCCGAAGTTAAGACTTTTTAGCATATATGCTCCATTGAAATCAACCATGACTTGAAGGATATTAGCAAGCTTCACTTCCCTAAAATTTTATGGAAGTGGGCCATGAAACATCAGAATATGAATTGAAATACACAGATAAAAATTTCCATGTGGCTTTAGCCTATCTCCACATTACTTGGTTGGAGTCATACTGAGGAGAGACAGAGGCATAACAGTAATATCTTTGTGCTTGGAATCTCAAAAAATGGCTTTATGTATCCTTGCTATGCACCAGCAAGTTAGAGTTTAAAGTACTGTAATAGGAAAAGAGATTTAAATTTGTGGTGCAAAGAATATGACTCAGAGCTGTAAGTTTTATTCCCAAAGTTCAGAGCTTATGGGACAAAATACAAGGTTACATGGGAAGATTTTCAGCCCTGAGAATTTAACTGTGCTCTGGTTATAAAAGGAGGAGCTATACAATACTGTACCATAAATTGGAAGGCAGACGAGTTTGTGTAGCTTATTACTATTACAAAAGTAATCCTTCACGGGGAAGTGGCTCTAATCAAGGGACTAGGCTTTAAAAGGGATAGAAATAAAATCTGAGCAGACTTGGGATTTGAAGTTGAAGAAATTTCTCTAATTTACCTCATTTCTGTCAACATGTCCTCTCTTCTAGCATATTATTGATATCATGTAACATTTAAGTCAATCTCTCTCTCTCTCTCTCTCCACCCCTGCTTAATGTGTTGCCTCTTCCACTTCCCTAGCTGTAACAACTGTTATAATATTGGAGGGAAAGGTAGACCAGGTTTTGTCCTTGGGGGAATCTGCCCGAAAGTATAAAGTCTTTCTTTTGTCATTTCCAGGACCTCATCCTAAATTACATTTCTTATTGTAGCACCTTTTCTGCTGCCATGACAATCATGCAAGGAATGGAACAGGCTACGCCAGGGGCTGGCCCTGGTGTGCCCCAGTTGGGAAACATGGGTGTCATACATTCATATCTGTGGAAAGGATTGCAAGAGAAGTTCTTGAAGGGGGAACCCAAAGTCCTTGGGGTAAGTCAGTTGCAAATCTGGGAGAAGACCAATAGTGTTGTAAACTCATGTTTGATCAGATCTAATGCCAAATACACTGTCCCACCAGCCTCTTAATACATCAACCAGCCCTAGCAACATCAGTATTTAATTTCAGGCCCTTTCTTTGAAAAAATATATCATATTCTACCACATCATGCTTCCAAATTAGTTATATTTAAAGTATATTGATTTCAGATCTATTCTATGGTTGTGGATCATCCATGATAACTATATTTGACTTCAGCATAGAAGAACAGCAAAAGAAAAGACCACCTGTGCACTAGCCGACGCCCCCTCCACAGGCCTTCCTGATAGCAGATAGATGCATATTGCTACTCTTTCTGTCTGGTACCTTTTCTTAGCCCACTGCTCAGAGGATGAAAAATCTGTTATTCTCTGAGCATTTCCATCTGGAGTCTCAAGTGAACGTGTCTAAAAACAATGTAGAATTAAAAGAATGTCAGGTTAGGGCAGGTGAAAGAACATGAAATATAGGTTTATCACTAGCCCAAGCTTCAAACCACTGAGAAAATATCATTGTGGACTCTTTGGATTCCTCCTTTTTTTTTTTTTTTTGCATTATTCATTTTTTGGGGGGGAAATATAGCTATTTTTCATAAAATAGGTTATTTATGTTGGCACATACTAGGTTCAATTTTTTAATGTATAAATAATTATTTTAAAATATACTGCATGTTTTAGGGACGTTTTAGGCTTAAAGAACAATTGAGAGCAAAAGTACAGGTATATCCCATATGCCCCTTGCCCCGACACGTGCATAGCTTTTTAATTATCAACTTCCCCCACCAGAGTGGGACATTTGTTCCAACTGATGAACCTATGTTGACACATCATTACTCAAAGTACACAAATCACAATGGGGTTCATTCTCTGTGTTGTGTGTTCTATGGGTTTTAACAAAGGTATAGTGATAGAATCTACCTTTATAGTATCATACAAAGTAGTTTCACTGCCCTAAACATTCTCTGTGCTCTGCCCATTCATCCTTTCCTCCCACCAATCCCCGGCAACTACTAATCTTTTATTGTCTTCATAGTTTGCCTTTTCCAGAAAGTCATACAGTTAACGTTGTAAAATAGATAGTTTTTAAAGACTGCCTTCCTTCACCTAATAACATGCATTTAAATTTCCTCCATGTTTTCTTATGGCTTAATAGCTCATTTATTTTTAGTGCTGAATAATATTTCATTGTGTAGAGGTACCACAGTTTGTTTATGCATTCACCTGCTGAAGGACATCTTGATAGCTCCCAAACTTTGGCAAGTAGGAGTAATGTTGCTATAAATATCTGTGTGCATGTTGTGTGTGAACATAAGTTTTCAACTTAACAGGTAAGTATGATTGCTATATTGTATGGTAAGAGCATGTTTAGTTTTGTAAGAAACTGTCAAACCGTCTTCCCTGTTACTTTGCAATGTGGAAGATGTCAATCAGCAGTGAATGAGAGTTCCTGCTGTTCTACATAATAGGCAGCATTTGGTGTCCTCAATGTTCTGGATTTTACCATTCTAATAGGTGTGTAGTCCAGTCTCATTACCATTTTAATTTTCATTTCCCTGGTGACATAAGATGTGGAGCATCTTTTTATATGTTTATTTACCATCTCTGTATCTTCTTTCTTGAGGTGTCTTATTAAAGTTTTTGGCACTTTTTTTTAACTGAGATGTTAGTATGCTTAATGCTGAGTTTTAAGTTTGTTGTATATTTTGGATAAGAATCCTTCGTCAGGTATGTTTTTTGCAAAATCTTCTGTCAGTCTATGGTTTATCTTTTCGTCTCCTGACAGTGTCTTCTGCAGAGCAGAATTTTTTTAATTTTAATAAAATTAAGATGATTAATTCTGTATTTCATGGGTTGTGCCTTTGGTATTTTATTGACAAATTCATCACCAAAACCAAGGTCATCTAGATTTTAGCCTATGTCATCTGTTAAGAGTTTCAGAGTTTTGAGTTTAACATTTGTGTCTGTGATTTATTTTGAGTTAATTTTTGTGACGAATACAAGGTATGTGTCTAAGTTCAATTTTTGCCTATGGAGGTCCAGTTTTTTAAGTTGTTTTTTTTTTTTTTTTTTTTTTGGAAAGACTATTCTTCTAATTGTATTACCTTAGCCCTTTATCAAAGATCACTTGACTATACTTCTGTGTCTATTTCTAGGCTTTCTATTCTATTCAATTGATCTATTTGTCTATTTCTTTGCCAATACCACATAGTCCTGATTACTATCACTTTATAGTTTGTCCTAAAGTTGGGTAGTGTTACTCCTACAACTCCTTCTTCTTCTTCTTCAAGATATTTTTTGCTATTTTAAGTCTTTTGCCTTTCCCTATAAATTTTAGAGTCAGTTTTTCAATATACACAAATAACTTGCTAATATTTTGAGGGAGATAGCATTAAACCTACAGATTAAATTGGGAACAACTGACATCTTGACAATGTTGAGTCTTCCTATCCATGGACATGGAATATTTCTCTGTTTATTTAGTTATTTGATTTATTTTTTTAAGTTTTTCTTATAGATTTTGTTCATAGTTTGTTAGATTTGTGCCTAACAAACACCAAATACCAATACCTAAATATTTAATTTTGGGGGGTGCTAATTTAAATAGTATTGCATTTTTAATTTCAGATTTCACTTATTTACTCTAAGTACATAAGAAAGTAATTGACTGTTGTGTATTAAGCTTGTATCCTATAACCTTAATATAATCATTTGTTAGTTCCAGGAGTTTTTGGTTGATTATTTCAGATTTTCTACACAATCATGTCATCTGTGAATAAAAGTAGTTTTATTTTTTCCTTACCAATTGTATACATTTATTTCCTTTTCTTTTCTTACTGTTTCAGCTGTGACTTCCAGTAAAAGTTTAAAGGAGTAGTGATGGGATCATCCCTGCCTTGTTCGTGATCTTAGTGAGAAAGCTTTGAATTTCTCCATTAAGTATGAAGTTAGCTGTAGTTTTTTGAATAAATATTCTTTATCAACCTAAAGAAGTTCTCCTCTATTAACAGTTTTTCAAAAGTTTTTATAATAAACAGGCATTGGATTTTGTTTAATATTTTTCCTGCATCTGTTGAGATAATCATGTGATTTTTCTTCCTTTCAGCCTGTTGATGTCATTAGTTACAGTCATTGATTTTTGACTATCTAGTCAGCCTTGCATATCTGGGATAAATCCTGCATGGTCATGGTATATAATTCTTTTGATACACTATTATATTTAGTTTGCGTATGTTTTGTTGGGAATTTTTGCATCTTTGTTCACCAGAGATGTTGGTCTGCGGTTTTCTTTTCTTGTAATGTTTTTGACTTTTTTTTTTGGTAGATAATAGTGCTAGCTCCATAGAATGAGTTAGGGAGTATTTCCTCTTTTTCTATTTTCTATAAAGAATTGGTATAATTTCTTTTTTAAGTGTTTGGTAGAATGCACTGATTAACCTTTCCAGGCCTGGTGCTTTCTGTTTTGAAATTTTACTAATTATTGATTTAATTTATTTAATAATTATAGGCTTATTCAGAGTGCCTATTTCTTTTGTGTAAGTTTTGACAAACTGTCTTTAAGGAGCAATTCATTGTCTCAAGGTTATTAAATTGTCGGCATAGAAATGTTCATAGCATTATTTTATTATCCTTTTAATTTCTGTGGGAACTGGAGTGATGTTCCCTCTTTCACTTATGAGTAATTTGTGTCCTCTCTCTCTTTCTCTTAGACTGGCTACAGGCTTATTGGTTTTATTTATATATTTTTCTTTTTTTAAAAAAAAAGCATTGGGTTTTGTTGAGTTTGTCTATTAATTTTCTGTTTTTAATTTTATGATTTCTGTTCTAATTTCTATTTCATGTTTTTTTCTTCCGCTTACTTGGAATTTAATTTGCTTTTCTTTTTCTAGTTTCTTAAGGTAGACTTTCAGGTGATTGATTTTAGATCATTATTTTCTAATATATTCATTCAATGTTATAATTTTTTTCTAAGCACTGCTTTCTCTACATTCCTTAAATTTTGATAAGTTGTTTTAATTTTTTTGACCCATTTTTAATGCCATGAGATAATTGTACTCCAACTCTCCTATTTTAAGAACGCTGTTTACTCATACTCATGTCCTCAGGCCCCAGACGTCAAGAAAATATCAGATTTGCTCTTCTTTTTTTCTTCCCCTGTATACACTCTTTTTTCTTTAGGTTACTTCCCCTTGCTAGAATAATTGCTTTCTAATTCCTTGGCCACTTCTCTCTGAGTATGTGACAAAAGAGAGATACCATTGTGGTAGAAGTAGCATCCTAGGTATCAGAAAAGCACCTGTGGGCTGGGTCTGGCATGCTCCTTTTAACCGTGAAATGACTGACAGTGGTAGAGATCCTGAGAGATAACGTTGGTAAGATAATATTCATGGTTCTTAATGCGAAAAAAAAGAGTGACAACAGAATATCAAGGTCATATGACTGTATGAAATAAAAAGAATAAGGATAGCTTAGTGATTGGAAAGGGGGTGGCATTAGCACCATTTTTGTGGTGGATAATCAGTTTTTGCTTTCTTCATCATTTCTAGGTTGTGCAGATTCTGATTGCCTTGATGAGCCTTAGCATGGGAATAGTAATGATGTGTGTGGCATTTAGTTCTTATGAAGAACGTCCCATTTCTGTGTATGCTGGGTACACAATTTGGGGGTCCGTGATGGTGAGTAGGGTATTTTTTGATATAATTGGAGATCACATAATAGAGGTGTAAATACCCTGATCTTTGCAATTGTATTCTAACTCTGTCTTGTAATTCTGCAAATTTGAGAATGGTATCTAACCTTTTTAAACTCAGTGTTCTCATATTTAAAATAGTAATAATAATATAAAACTTAAAGCTAGGCAGGTTAAATACTTTACGTAAGTCAGTTAGGGTCTATTACAGCAACACATTGCCAAAGACCCAAACTGGAATGACTTAAGCAATGAAAGCACTGATTGTTTCACAACGAGATTAGGGGCTTATTTCCAGAATTGCTTAATTCGGTGGTGTAAGGATTTCATCAAGAACTGCTAGCAGACTATACCAGAGGGGAGATGGTAGACACATCCATTTTTGATAAATATTTTATATACATATGCCCAAATCAACCATCAGTAAGGATAACGAACTTGCCATTACTGGCTTAGACTAATTAAGATTTACCTCTGTAGCTGGGAGGAGCCTACACTACCTTTTAGCTCAGGAAAAACTGAAGAAAATGATGGTTTAGTTAGCAAGGAAAAAGAGGAGACGTGGCTGGTACACAGGCAGTTTCTCATATATAGTCTATTGACTATCAAATGTTACCTTAGAAAATTAAATTGTTATTTGATACATTTTGTTTCATAAGTTTAATAAGTTACTATGGTTGATATTAAATTAAAATTAGAATTGGAATTTAGCTTTAAAAACATTCTCCCAAGAGAGAACACAAAAGAGTTTTGAGGCAAATTAAAAGTAAATTTGAGGTAAATTTGAGAATAAAATACCAAGTTTTATCTATTGACAAAAGAAAAATAAAATTTATAAGGCAGATTTAGGTTAGAATCAGGGAATTTATTCTAGTATTATAGGGTTTCCATTTATTTATAAAACTGAGAATGAGATAGTTTAGAGTTTTATAATGGAGCTTAATTTCTGCTCTACTTCACCTGTGTACAGTGGAAGTGCGAGATTTGAAGGAGAGTGTATTTGTCAGGGTTCTCTAGAGGGACATGACTAATAAGATAGATGTACATATATAAAGGGAAGTTTATTAGGGAGTACTGACTCACACAGTCACAACGTGAGGTCCCACAATAGGCCATCTGCAAGCTGAGGGGCAAGGAAGCCAGTCTGAGTCCCAAAGCTGAAGAACTTGAAATCTGATGTTTGAGGGCAGGAAACATGCAGCACGGGAGAAAGATGTAGGCCTGAAGACTAAACCAATCTAGTCTTTCCATGTTCTTCTGCCTGCGTTATTCTGGCCACACTGGCAGCTGAGTAGATTGTGCCCTCCCAGACTAAGGGCGGATCTGCCTTTCCTAGTCCACTGACTCAAATGTTAATCTCCCTTGGCAAGCCCTTCACAGTCACACCCAGGAATGATACTTTGCATCCTTCAATCCAATCAAGTTAATGTTCAATATTATAT